GATTTTTTTAAATAATAAAAGACAAATAAAAGACAAATAAAAAAAAAACATATATGGAGAGTAAACGAGAAATGCCGTTATCTCTTGGATGGCATCTTGCCAGCTCATTCTATTCCAACTCGGTCGCTTAACTGGACTCTGTGAAGGTCTTCTGGCGCTATAGAGATATGTGACGAAATTTTCGTACGTGAGATGAAGGATCTACAGACGTAGAAATCTGTCGAGATTGGTGGCGAAATTGTACGTGAGAAGAAGTTACTGCGTGGCATTTGCGTTTCTGAAGTAGAACATCTGTGAATGCGGTGAGGCGGAAGACATTTTTCAGTTTCCTTCTGTCAGTTGTATGCCTCCCAAAGAAAACAAGGCTCATATATAGAGGAAGCTACGGACTTTTATACTATACTTCAATTTTAATAGAAAAGTCTGTCAAAACGCTCGATCTTTCATGCATGAAATTTTCCATGACTTGTTTGTATCAGATGGACATAATTCTATATTACCAGGTCGCGGAGGACGGATGAAGCTTTCCATCCTACAGGAATTTCAAATTATCTTTCGCATTTTCTTTCTGCGGTGCTTATCTAGGATTCCACAACTCGCGATTGGAAGGTGGAGTGCACATTCTTAGTATACCGAGTGATGGTAGAACATGAAGACTTTTCAAAGGACTTGGTGGAGAAATTTGTAGGGAGAATCCCTTATCCTTTTGAAACTTTCAAAGCGAGGCTCTTATCCACAGAATGGAACAGGAACTTTCGAGCAGTGGTGAGTCAGTCATCTTGCACTTGGCCCACGTACTGCCTTCTTTACATTTTGAAGGTCATGTCGAGATCAGGAAGAGCAGTCGATGATGGCTCAGCTCGGTAGACAGCTCTCATGGATTCAGACCGGGTAGATCATGTCACTCTGCCCCACGTTTTCACTATTTGATAGACAGGCACCATTCATGGGTTATTCAAGGGGATTATCTAACTGCACAGGGTTGGATACGATTGTGTCGAAGGTCGCTTGAATATCTTGGAGCAGATAAATTGGTCTACGGGAAGATTAAACCCTAGATATGAGTTCTCTAGTCATTGCGGAGCTTTGCTTGTTCGGGTGGTGCTTCAAGAACACAGAGCACTAGCAACTGTCATGAACCAGGTTACATGCCAGAGAAACCTTGTGCGGTTCACTAACTTGGAAGAAATAATGCTTCACCTCATGGTATTCCCCGTGGGAGCTGAGCACTATGAATTAATCATCTGTCACTTCTCAAGGAGCACCCCCGTGAAATTATCCGTCAATGTATACAAATCCGATTCCGAGGACCATACAATGAGGTCAAACATCTTTGAACGCGCAATCAAGCCAAAATACTACAGAGGTAGAATATTTGATTACAATAATGGCGTTTTGTATCTTCCAAATCCCATCTTTGAAGATATAAAGGTATTGCAGTTGAACATCAAGAATGGAGCTATGAACGAGATCACGGTCGGGCGGAAAACAGGTTCTAATATGTACCTCTACCATTAAATGGAATCCGCTGTGCTTCTTTGTGGTTCCAGATTAATATGCGTATTGGCCTACATATCCTCGTATGCACCACCTATAGCGACAGTATTTCACGTTGATCCGGTGTCCTCTGAGTCCATCTCCCTCTCCACCTGCAAGATAGAACATTCCTCAACCGAATTGAAGTTCGAAAAAATAAGTTTTGCTTCATGTTGTGGTTCCATTTTCATCACAGAGTGTAATTCCTCAGTAGATCCAGGTCCAGATTTTGGCATACAGAGGATGGTATATTTCAGAAGTAGAACAGTGTGTTACGACGTCGACACTAATGTCTGGTACTCGATTCACATCCCCTTCTGCGAATTCTCTTCTCAAGAACGCATAGAGGTGGAACTTTCTGTTTTGGAACCTGGTCAAAATCCACTTGCTTCCCCGTGAAATACCATGAACTCAAGACCAGCCATCAGTTTAGATGAAACCAGCAACGTTCACTCACCACTTGACTTGGTGGCAGAACCTCCGCTTGTTGATGCATATGGTTTCTGGGAATTCAGATTCCGTCTGTGCTGGAATACCGAGTACACTTTCTCTGTAATGAGCAATCAGCATGTTAACTAGATAATGAGTTCAGCATCCCTATTATGAGCTAAGGTTCTCCATATTTGCCCAGAAGGTGTTCACGTGCATTTAATTTGATTCCACCGGCTAAACGCTTTTGGCTTATTGGTTTTTTGTCAATCGATTAAAATGATTATTGCAAATTGAGTTTAATTCAAATGTTTCCCGGTCATGGTTGGATTCTTTCTTCTCTGTTACAATGGGTAAACCACAATGCTTTCTGGATTCCATTTTGAATCCATGAATGAGATGCAAATTTACAGTAAGGAAATCGCATATTACATCCGTCAATTGCAAGTGAATGTTGATGAGTTTTCTGTTAACAGTGGAGTCAACATTCAAACATGTTGATTTATGCAGAGAATTGGAGGAAGCATCTGTAGTGAAGATTATATAATCAATGTGTTTCACATCAACCCTAAGTTTGTGCCGATTAGTACGATCGCACATTACAATAACATAAAACTTCTCGATATGGTCCTTCATTTACCATAGATATTTAGGTTCACCATGCTAATCGAGCCAGAATTATATCCTGGACACAAATGGATTGGCTAGGCAAGTTAAGTGCACATGGAATGTTGAGATGAATTCTTTGCATCATCACCGAAGTGTAAAGAGTAGGGTAGAGTTTGAAAATAGGGTTGAGTAGGATGATATTATATACTTCTGTTAGAGGAAGAGACTAAATTGTGTGTGAAGATAAGGTTTAAGTATTAAAAGTTCAGATAGAGAGTTACAAGAGTTACTGCTGGCCCATAGTCCGAGACTGAGTTCTCAAGAGACCCAGGTCGCTGAGCTTTGCTGGTTGAGGTACGACGTAGAGCGCTCAAAACTGTCATCAATCTGGTGACAGGCCAGAGTAACCTGGTGCGCCTTTCTCACATGGAGGATATCAAGCTTCAGCCCTTGGTGAGCTTTGTGGAAGTAGAGCAGGACTAAATAACTATCGATCAATTTTCGAAGATGTTCTCCATTACTCTGTTGCTAACCTAGAATGTAAAATCCACCTTCAAGGATGTGATAAAAAAAGTCATAAATCTTGGATGTTGTCTTCATGCAAATCGAATTGCATGGCTGGAAGCTGTCAATCAAAAGGATGTGTTGTATCTTCTTACAACTCCTGAGTCTGGAATTAGATAAATAGTAAATGGTACCAAAGTATGAAAAGGTTGAAAACACAATACAAACAATCCAATTCCAATCTAGGACAGAACCAAAAGAACCCCCTAGCTAGTGTCAAGAACACTAGAACGGTAACTAATAACATCCTTAATGTAATAACTTAAATCATAAGGTTCAAGCTGAAACAAAAAATAAAAATTCTCAACAATAATTTTATGAACCACTCTAATATATCTAGTACAAGTAAGAAATATATGCTTTTCATCCTCAACATTTTTCCCATCATATAGTCTACAAATCCGTTCAATTTTATCAATATTCAACTAACGGCCTTCCTCAATTCCAAACCTATGAGATTCTATTCTATGTCTGGCAATAAATTGACAAAAAGATGTAGAGATCTCTACAACAAGGTATAATTGCTCACAATAAATAAGCATAAGATCTACATGAAATTGATAAAATTACTTTTTGGTGTCTCGTCTGCTCCAGATGATATTGAGAAATTTTTCCTTAATATGCTCGAGAAGTGCCATAAGTTGCAGATACCAATCTGGTTCCGTTACATTCCACCTCAAAGACCAAGATAATATGCAGTTGAACATCAATGATGTAGCTATCTACAAAATCAGACTCTGAAATCAACTAGTGTACTTACTACGTTTGTGTAGGCATCTATTTATGATTTCTAAAATATCAAAATTTCATCCAAAAACCTATTATTTGTGTGTGATTTTACACATATTCTAACTCAAACAAGTGTGTTAATGAACTTTTAGAAATTTACAATTTGGATTATCGATATAGATATATATATATATATATATATTTGTGAATATTAGTTTTTTCAAGTCATATCTTGTTAAACTTGCTTCTAAAATACAATGTGGTAAAATACGTTGATTTTTTAAGTTTATGAAACTTTTCTTTTTTCTCGAAATTCTCTACACTCATTTGTTCATACACTCATTAAAGGTAAATCATATTTTTTTTAAATAATATTTCTTCATTAAAAGCTAGAAAATATATTGAATATTCTATTTAGCTTTTGATATGATGAATAAGATTTTTAGAATTTTATTTTTCTTTTGCAATTTTGAAACAAAAAATACGAATTTCTGAAGATTGATGTGCTTTCAATAATTATATTTTTTTTCTAATCTATATGCCTGTTTAATGATAACTTTGCAGTTTAAATATTTTTTTATTCTATAAAATATGACTTCTTAAATTTAAAATGTAAAACTTTATCCTTCGATTTAACAATGACTCTATAACATCTATATGAACAAAAAAATTTTTATAAAATTTATCATACTGATAAAAAAAAACAAATGACTACAACTAAGAAATTTGCATTTATCTTTAACCAATCATTATTTTGAAAAAAAAAACTTTAATCTCAACGAGTTTAATTCCTATCAAGAATGAAAGAATAATTCAAAGAAAGTTTATTATACAAAACATGTATCAAAAAAGTTATCAGTAGCGCTCAAGGGTGTAACAGTGATGTGTTTGTGCATAGTAAGTACAGGTGCTAAGTAAGTACTTGGCTACTGTAGAGTATTTTCCAAGTCTTACGTTACACTCGTGCAAAGAGTAAAACACCAACGTACGCTTGAGCACTACATCCATAACTTTCGCAGCGAGCTTCGCGCAACTGACAAGAGGTGGCCTGACAGAAACATAGCAGAAACGCCCCGAGTAAAAGCGGAAGCAGACAAAATGGATCTCCGACAAGAGATCCCAGCGTCGGTCCTTCAGAGAGGCCCTTGCTTAATCTTGCTCTGGACGTTCCAGTAGGTAATACCGCGATAAATGCCATGGGTCGCAACCTCGAACCCAGTAGCAACAGATTTCGAATAGACTGTGAATGGAACCTCAATGTTGGAGCGTGTAACGGTGCCGGTCCCAGTGATTGTATGGCGGGGGGGAGCGACTGCAGGGAACCGTATCGAGTAAGTCTTGGATTCAGTGGTTGTCGTGCCCCATTTCAACGTGTGGGAGTTGGATACGTCGACTTTAATCTGACCCTCGGTAAGCAAGGGAATCCCAATCTTTCCACTGGTGCCCACGGTGATGGTGAACCCGACTGTGTAATCGAAGGAGGAGGAATTGGTTTCGGTCCGGGTGAAATCGAACTCGACCGTCTGATTGACAGCGCTATCGTTCTTCATGGTCATTGTTCCTAAGACCTCGGCAACAGAGCCAAGAACCTTCGCCTTGTCAAGTTTGTACTCAACTCTGCTTATCGCCATATCCTCAAAGATGAATGTGAAGTACTGGTCGTCGTAGACATTGCTGTTTCCTGGGCAGTTGGAAATCGTAGGTTCGTCCTGGGCGCGGGAGTAAAGCACGGTGTCAGAGGTAGGTCCAATGTTTCGAATACGGAAGTGGTTTGCGAGCTTGCCGGTGCCGGCCTCAAGCTTGAACCAGTTGTCGTCATACTTGCCGTCTCCATCGACGTGGCCGATCCGGGGATCGGGTGAATTCCTCGAGAAAATCACATGTCCCGTATATTTGCTCTTGATGAGATAATACCCTGCGCGCTTCCCTGTTCCCGGAATAAGCTGCCACCATTGATCGGCGTGCGGTCCTCCATTGTCGTGGCTGAATGTAGGGTCCGGGTTATTGCGGGAGTAGAGGAAGCAGTTGCTACTATAGCCACGAAGGCGAAAGGATATTTCCTTGGGAGGAATATACAATGCGGGCATCGTGAACAGCTGCGAGCGGCACACATAAGAATAAGCAACAATTCGGGATTATAAGCAACGAATAACGACATACATTAGCTACGGCTAGGTTGGCGAAGTCTGCGTAGAGATGGTCGTTCGAGTTCCGTCGCAGGGTTCTGATGTGACATGGCTTGAACGAGGGCAACAAATTCGGGGATCGTGAAATGCTGCGAGCGGCACACATAAGAATAAGCAACAATTCGGGACTATGAGCAGAGAATAACGACATACATGATCGAAGGCTAAGTTGGCAAAGTCTGAGTCGAGATGGTCGCTCGAGTTCTGTCGCGGGGATCTGTTGAGAAATGGCTGGAAGAAGGGCAACCCAGCTTCTTATACAACCGACCAACGATGCCTTTCACGTCTCTCTTAAACAGAGGCCCATTGCTAGACTCAGTCTAATCCAACAATAACTTCCACGCCCTCTCAGACGGGCGCCCATTGCCACTCTCAATCCGACCATGCGGTTCGGCGTTGAGGACGGGATAACGCGGACCATCACGAACCCGATTCACAAGCTGGCAAGAAGGGCTGGCCCCGAGTGAGTCCTCAACGTTGACGCGTATGCGGGCAATTTTCCATCGAATCGGCCTGTATCCACCATGGATCGGATCGAGTAAAAATTGCTTATAATATTGTCACATTGATGAGCACGGGACGAGTCCATCCCGGGACCGACGAGTTTTTTATTATTTTTTATCTCGTCCCGTCCTGCGGCGGGACGGAGCCCGGGGCGGGAGTCCCGCCCCGGGCTCTCGCCCAAGCGGCCATCTGGCGCTCGGCCAAGCTCTGGCTGACCTCGTTGCAGTAAACACCGCACTCCTGCAACACTGCAGACAAATGATTTTCGCCGCTCAGGCATGATAGGCATAGACGATTCCAGAGATCGTATTGGTCGAACGCCAGTCGAAGACGTGAAATATTTGGGGAATCAGCCGGTTGTCAATCTGCTTTCTGATCGCAAGCGCATGCACAAGCCGAAGTGATTATTCTCAGTGGATGGTCCAATTGAACATCAATGATGTTGGTTCACTTTGATGGTTCAGTTGCAGTTGAATATCCACGATGTAGCTATCGACAAAATCAGACTCTGAAGTCAGCTACTGTACTTACTGTATGTGCCATGTTGTGGACGCATCTGTTGAAACTGCGTGGCTCAATTGTAGGTCGAGACTCATGTGCGTCTTGATCCACATGTCCCGGCATGCACTCCCTATAGCGAGAGTTTTTCACCTCGACCTGCGTCCTCCGAATTTTATCATTTTTCCACTGAGAGATGAAACCTCTGTCAACTCATTCCCTGACCATAATTTAAAAACTGCGAAATATATGGTAATTCCATTTGCATTGTAGATTCCAGCTCCTTTGTCTACTTTGATGTTTCAGTACTAGAAAGTGTGTGATGATGTGGAAGATAATGTCTGTCTCTTAATAGGAGGATTGAAGCAGAACAGTGTTACTTCAGAGTATTTCCATGTTACAGATTGCGGTTACAATATTAAACATAAAAAAATTAAAATTTCTAATCAAAGATAGTAACTAGTTTTTTTCCGAAACGAATTGTTGAATGTTAATGGAGCACGGCTAAATAACGACAGGTAATTTTGAAAACCATTATGATGTGGGTTGATCTCAGTATGTTTGATGCTTGGTTCTTTGACATAACTTAGAGCTTAAACAGTTACATATCAAAATAGTCAATATTGTTCTCTACTATGATAAGTCTTTTCAAATATTTCAAAAGACGTCTTTTAGTCGGCATTCTCAGCTCTACTTAGTTTATGGATACAAATAATAAGCACATAGATCTGTCTACATAATTCGATTCTTGAATGGTAAATAGATCAAGCACGTGATACCTTAGGGGTCAAAAGGCTAGAAAAACACATTACAAGTCAAACATGCACTGAACACTGTTCAGTGAATCATTGGGAATGTTTGTTCTTCCCTGTTCAGTGAACAGGGAGGGACAAACAAAGAATTGCTCGATGCATCATCTCCACTTGCCACCTATCTAGGATAATGAACAATCATCCATTATCAACCCTATGTCAGTTTTAGGATATAACAGAAAAATTTACTCCATAGTAACTTTGTATTCCTGAACACATTTAGGTGTGCTAGATTTTCAATTAACTAAAGTGCAAAACTGAAGGTGATCCATATGTAATATTTACCATCTAGTTACATAACAAAAAATCAAATCTCTAATCATGTTCTAGAGAAATTTGTTTTAATTCTCTAATTGAGATGGACTCATAAGTAGTAAGACTATATGTAAAGTAGTACCATATTAATGGTGATATGAAATCATGTCAGCGATGAAAATGTATGGATAAGCCAAGTTTGAACCTTTTCAACGTCGAGAAGGTGTCTAGGGCCAGTAGAATCCACGAGCCAAGAATTGTAGTTTTACGAGGAATGTCTTGATACTAAAAGGTTGTGTGGAGCCTGGGATTGACCCATAGCATCCCTCGTCCGCTTCAAATACTGCCTTGACAGAAATTGAGCATTCATCCAATAGAAGTCAACAGTGTGTCTCACGTGCATCCGAGACTTCTGCTGAGTTGCATATAAACCTGAAGCAGCGGTTGTCAAGAACGCCAGTTTACTTGTGGAGACATTGTCTAGCCATCTAACTAGGTATTATTATTTCACGTCACTCTGAGATGGAGAGCGAAGAAAATCACAAACCATTCAGTCACGTTTTCTGAAGTACTTTCTCTATACACATCTGCACTTCACTCTCGAAAATGAGAGTGAAGTGAAAGTGCAAATTTGGATCCCAGTGCACATCGTTGGGGGCAACTTCAGCATCAGTTCCTGTGATAGCCCTCAGCTCTTGTTCTTACATCCCAGCTTGTCTTGGTGCTTCACGGAAGAATGGACAAGATCTCAGAAGCATGAAACCTGGAATCACAGGACAGAAGCAACTCCCGGCCCTCAGCTCGAAGTCTGGCTGCCGACCGTGGACTTGTTGAAAGAAGAGATCGCGAGACTCTGCTGGGACTCCTTCACGGCGAGCACCAGCCCTAGAACTGCCAGATCGAATGCGTGGCGCTGACGTCGGAATTCACCAGCGCACACTAAAGGATTTCATCCGTGTCATTCGCGAGAGTCGTCGTGACCTTGGCGATGGCCCTCCCATTCCGGACTCTTGCGAATGCAGCGAGAACGGACCCTTCAGCTCGACGCCTGGACCTCATTTCCAAATCCAGTTGCTTCCTCTCTTCGTCGACCGAGACGTCAACATCATAGCAATTGGCCTCGAAGAACGTGAATTCTCTCCTACATCCGTGTACTGGAGTCTTAGGCTTGCGCCTTCGACGTTTATCTTCTGCCCATGACTCCACTGCCAGTACGCGAAGATGTAGTTTCCACTGTCCATTTTCCATTGTCGAACCGCTGGTGTTCGACACTAACGTGGTGCGGTTGAACCGCACCACGTTACTCTGGTCTGTCACCAGATTGATCACAGTTTTCAGCGCTCTATCTACGTCGTACGTGAACCAGCAAAGCTCCGTCCTCGGTCTTATTTTGAAAACTCAGTCTCGCCCTATGTGTCTAGCAGTAACTCTTGTAGCAGCCCCACTACATTTTAACCTACATAATTTAACCCTTATCTTCAAACACTAAAACACTTGCAATTTAGCCTCTTCCTCTACCCTAATTTACTGAATTCATCCTACTCAATCCTATCTTCAAACTCTACCTTAAGCTTTACGTTTTGGTGGTGATGCAAACATTTTGATCATATTTTGATAAAGTAATTTCACATGAATCATATTACTCTGTTGAAAAACCATGGGTTAAACGCGTAAAGTAAAAATCAAATACTATACCAATGAAGTAACCTTACATTCTTGATTCTTTCATCTCTGTTTGGTAAAATTTTGTAATGCAACCATTAGAAATTTCACAACTAAAATTCTTCCTTTAATTTTGAATTGAAACGTATACTGTACTACTAAACCTTAATTTCAAACTCTACTCCAGTCTTAAAACACTAAACCTTCTTGTCGATTACTGAGATTTTGTCATCAATCTCGAGAGATCTTTGCCTCTGTAGATCCTACACAGCATCTCCTTTATGGGCCAATGTTCTACACTTCTGTTCAGATGGTGTTCACGTCCGTTCATTGGCTTCCACCGATTTAACACTTTTGGCTACAATATTGGTGCATTATCAATAGGTCTGAGTTGAATTTTGCTTGAGGTTGGAACTTGGATTTTATGCGGAGATTTTGAAAGTATTGCTGAAACTTGAGGCTTCGACATTCTTAAGACGAGAGTGAATTAACCAGGACATCCGAACGCCAAGCGATGGGCCTGAGACATTAAAAAATGTGGTATATAATCTTAAGTCTACACATTTAAGTAATATTTATTGAACATTTATGAAAAATAAGGTTATCAAAATATAGTATTCAATCTTAAGTTTACACATTTAAGTAATATTTATTAAAAATTTATGTAGAATAAATTTATCAAAATATAATAATCATTTTTAAATCTACACATCTAAATAACATTTTTAAATTACTTATAAAAAATTAATTCATCAAAATATATAACTAACACCTAGCGGTGGGGCTAACGCACAGGTGGGGAGGTAGCAGGAGGGGAGAACATCGCGCTGCTGATCCTGATACTTAAGTGAGTGCGCGGAGAAATGCGTTAGGGTCGCATCTTGCCAGCTCATCCCTTTCCACCTCCGTCTTTTAACTGGACTCTGAAGGATCTACAGACGCAAAGACCTGTCAAGATTGGTGACGAATGGTACTCGAGAAGAAGGTAAAGTGTTGCATTGCCGTTTACGAAATCGCACATCTGTGAATTCGTTGAGGCGGACTACATTTTTCAGTTTCCCTCTGTCGGAATATGCCTCCCAAAGAAAACAAGCCTCCATCTACGGAGTTTTATATTATGCTTCAATATTGATAGAAAAGTCTATCACAACCCTCTTCCTTTCGTGCATGAAAATCTCAATGGCTTGTTTGTATTAGATGGACATTAACATATGTTACCACGTCGCGGGTGTCGGATGAAGCTTTCCATCCTACAGCAATAACAAAACATCTTTTACTTTTTCTTTGAGCGGTGCTTGCCTAGGATTCTACAACTTGCAATTGGAAGGTGGACTGCACATTCTTGGTATGCCGAAAACGATGGGAAAACATGAAGACTTTCCAAAGGACGTATTGGACAAAAATTTTGGGAGAGTTCCTTTTCCTGAAATTCTCAAAGTGCGACTCTTATCCACAGAATGGAACAGGAACTTTCGAACAGTGGTGAGTCAGGCATCTCGCACATTGCCCACGTATTGCCCTCTTTACATTTTGAAGGTCATGTCGAGATCAGGAAGAAGACAAATCGGTGATGGTTCAACGTGGCGTAGGATTGGATACGATTGTGCCGAAGGACGCTTCAAAAAATTGGGCAAGATAGATGGGTCAAAGAAGACAGTAAACCCTGGATTGTTCTCAAGTCGTTGCGGAGCTTTGCTTGTTCATGTGGTGTTTCAAGAACACGGAGCACTAGCAACCGTCATCAACCAGGTTACATGCCAGAGAAACCTTGTTTGGTTCTCTAACTTGGAAGAAATAATGCTTCAGCCCATGGTATCTTCTGTGGGAGCTGAGCACTATGAAATAATCATCTGTCACTTCTCCGAAATAGGAGTTCCTCCGTGAACTTCTCCGTCACCGTATACAATTCCGTCTTCAAGGACCATACAACGAGGTCATACATCTTTGACCGCGCTATCAACATCTTTTGTGCAAGATCTGCTTACAATGATGGAGTTTTGTATCTTCCAAAGTCCATCTCTGCATATATGGAGCAAGATGTAAAGGTTTCACAGTTGAACATCAAGAATGGAGCTATCAACGAAATCACGGTCTGGCGAAATGCAGGTTCCAGATATGTGTTCCCTGCTGTGCTTCTATGTGGTTCCAGGGTCATGTGAGTATTGGTCAGCATATACTGGAATGGACCACCGATAGCGAGAGTATTTCACGTTGATCCGGTGTCCTCTGAGTCTATCGCCGTCTCCACCTACGAGATAGAACATTTCCCAACGGAATTGAACATCGGAAAAAATAATTTTGCCTCAAGTCGTGATTCCATTTTCATCACAATCCGTGAGACTAAGATTTGTAAGTTCTTAGTAGATCCATGTCCAGATTCCTCTGTAGATCCATGTCCAGATTTGGGCGTACAGAGGGCGTCCAGATATAGAACAGTGCGTTATGATGTGGACGCTAATGTTTGGACTTCGATTGACACCCCATTCTGCGAATTCCCTACTGAAGAAGAACGACGTATGGAGGTGGAACCTTTTGCTTTTGAACCTGGTCTAAATCCACTTGCTTCCCCGTGAAATACTATAAACTCAAGCCCAGCCAACAATTTAGATGAAACCGGCAAAGTTCACTCAACACTTGACTTGGTGGCAGCACTTCCGCTGGATTATGCAAATAATCTCTGGGAATTCAGATTTAGGCTGTTAAATCTAGATATCAAGTAGAGTTTCTCTGTTATGAGCTAAGATTCTCCATTTTTGTTCAGAAGGTGTTGAAGTACATTCAATTTGATACCACCGATTAACGGCTTTTGGCTATAATATTGGTGCTTTGTCAATCGTTTAAATCAAATTTGATTTTCAATTCTCTTGATGTTGGAGTTTTGATTTTATGTGAAATTTCTGAAACTCAGTAAATAGTATATATTCAATTTATGTCATTTTCCATATTCGTTAATGATTAACCTTCGTTGCATTTGTGACCCGAACTTAGTGTTAGCTAGGTTATGAAATATGTTACACAAAAGTAGAGTTTCAGACAGAACACATATTGACAATAATCCGCCATGTACCTTGACTGTGCAATTCTATCGTGTGCTTTTTTGCTAATAATGGGGGTGTGAATTCATGTGGACTTCGAATGTCAATTATTCGAAGGACTTGCATCCAGTGAATGGCTGATCATATCTAATGAGCAACCAGAAAAAGCCGACAGGGAATGAAGAAACTACTCAAGCGCTAGAATAAGTGACCTTGGACCTCGCATCCATCTTGCGTAGCAGATGTCTTGTTCGGAACTTTGATAGTTCCTTCAAAATGACAACAGATCAGACATTGTACGCAGTGTCGAAAGAACATTGTACTTTTTCGGCGTTATCAATGGAACAAGAACTATGTATAACCTTGCGTATTCTATCAAAAGAAGTTTCTATTTTATTATTTCGAGATAAAATAATTTATTCTATAAATCTGTTTATATTTTTATTTTTAACATTTTTATGAACTCATCAAATATTATCTTTAATTTTTCATAAATTTACCAAAATTTATATTTTTATTATAAATAATCAAATTTTAATTTTAATTATAATTATAAAAAATTATAATTTAATTTAAAATATCTTTCATTTCTACATTTTCCTCTTATTTGAAACCAAAGGTCAATTGTCTTGTTCTAAAACTTCTCTTCTAATGCTTGTTGATTTGTTCTTCTTCTATATATATATCCAATTTCTATATATATTTGTTATATCAATTTTGAATCTTTCATATGGAATATGAATCTACTCTAGTCAGATTTATTCCATCAATTTCAGTGTGTACATATACTTTTTATATCAATTTTGAATCTTTTGTATGGAATATGAATCTACTCTAGTCAGATTTATTTTTTATATTCCATCAATTTCAGCGTGAACATATACTTGTTATATCAATTTACAATCTTTTATATAAGTATGACACTAGTCAGATTTATGTTTGATATACCATGAACTTCAACTTGTACATATACTTGCTATATCAATTTTGAATCTAATATATGGAATATGAACCTGTCTCTCGTCAGATTTATGCTTGATATTTGAGTTTCATTATGATGTGCGAATAAAAAAATGTCTGAGTAACTAAGCTAAGATTATTTCATGAGAATCTTATATAGCTAGCTAGAAATACAAGAATTTTTGAATAGGGTACAACTTACCAAGATTACAACTCTTGAGATACATAAGCTTTTCTAAGTACACATCAGCCTGATACTCCGCATGGCTTGTTACTGTATATTCAAGTTGTTCATACTTAAGGTATAAAGTTTGCAACACATTATGAATGCAATACATGATGAAAAACCTTCCAATTTTTGGCTGCAGTTTCTAATAAATCCACGCTCCGCAGCATATCTTCACCTGTAGCAATTTCTAAGAGTTACCACAGTGTCCACTTCCCCTTTCGTTGCAAGCGTTGCTTTGATGTCTTTAAAAACTGGCTTGTTCACCCTAAGATTTGCTTTAGGCAATAAAAAGCTCTTCAAAGCTTTCAAGGAAGCTCTCTCTGCACCATACTATGAACCTTGTAGTCAGCCTTATCACTGATTTGCAAAAAGCTAGACTGACACAACACAAGGTCAAGAGATTTCGTTAGGGCAAAGCGAATTCGTATTCATTTTGGATTTCTGATCTTTGATGCCGATCGCAATCCAACTTAAATTCACGTTAATTGCTCTTGCTCTGAGCTTTTGATTTCTTTGATTTAGAGCAATCTTTGTGGTCAGTCGGAGACCACAAAGGCTAGCTGGTCTTTGCATCTTTATATTTTTACAATAAGTTGCAACCAGCTTCTTCTTTTTTCAAAATAAAAAATATTAAAAATTAATCATCATTTTTTTTATCATTAATTTATTTTTTCATATGATTTTACTCTGTAAGTTATAAAGCCATACTCCATACTCAGCAACATTCACCATGAAATTCATTAAATGCTTCATCACCTTCTGCCATATACTTATGACTTAAAAGAAAGTCATAATGTATTCCGTAAATAAATAAATAAATAAAAATATATATATGTTGTTACAACTTATATAATTGTTCTCTTGATCGGTAAATAATCAGTTGTCTTTTGGACATTGTACCTGGATTAGATTGTGGATTTGAAGTTGTTTGCATTGGATGTGTGAATAGGGTAGAGTCGCGTAAGCCTTTGAATTAGGTTACATGTCGTGCGAATACATATCGCCATACACTCTACATCGCTGACATGCTACTCACATACACATACGCACACACATACACACATATAAGGCGCGAGAGAGTACACACTCAAATGTCACAACTGAAATAAACGGGAGATTCCCCACTGGAATTCCCGTCGGTCAATTACCCTACTGGCAACAAACCGTCACCGTCACAAACATGAGTCAAGCCCAACCCACTCCACACTCGGAGAATCCAGGTCGACGCAAAGGGAAAAATCACTCTACGCTCCCAACGCTTCCAGGCTCGACTCGAAGAACTGACGTTCTTCGAGCCGTCCCCGACTGTATACCCCTCGTGACCGGAACCCTAACTTTACGGCTAAATATAGTAAGTGTCTGAACTTCGTGAGCCGACTCGTAACTACATGACAGCTGTCGTGCGAATACATATCGCCATACACTCTACATCGCTGACATGCTACTCACATACACATACGCACACACATACACACATATAAGGCGCGAGAGAGTACACACTCAAATGTCACAACTCGCTCCCCTAGCTGGCGGTCAGGTCCCTCTGACTCCCAGGTAGCCCCATCGTTAGTCGCCTATCTGCAATTCATAACATGTGAAGATCAAGTCATCTACCCCTATGAAGTACATCGAGGACAAACCCATCGTCCAGCCGGGATAACATCGATAGGCGGAGTTAGGCACGACATGTGCCATCCCCTAGAGCACCTATCACACACCAACATACGGGCCGCCTGACCAGCCGACCCACACAACATGCACCTCAAGCTAGCACGTACTATCGCTAAGCTTGGGTCCATAATGCCATCTACGTTTGGGAGGTGGCATGGCGCACAATTGCGCACATGATCCTTCCAAACAACGCCGTCACGACCCTCCAACAGGAGAACTCCAGAAGGTAACACCTCCCGCACCCGCAAGATGGTGCGTCCCGCCGTCACATTCAATGTCGTCGGTGCAGTCTGCTGTAGATAGACGTAGTCTCCCACATGGAATCTACGAATTGATGGTCGATAACCTCCTCCCCGAATGGTTGCATACCGCAACGTATCTCTATGTTGAGCAATCGCAAGATTCTCAAACGCTGCAGGCATAACTCTTCGAAAGAGCTCTGCACGTTGAGAACATACTCTCACCCACATATTCGGGTCATCAAGGTTCACCACCTCGCTAGTCTCACGACGAATCGATGTTGGCAAGTCTGGATCTCGGCCGTACAATAGAAAATATGGTGAGAAGGAAGCCAAGGATGCCTGCCGACTGAACCGATATCCCATGGCCAACCACGGTAACTGGATATCTCAGTCCCCAAGATGACCTTTCTGCAGGCCATACTTGCGCAACGCCCTCTTCACCGTCTGTACAACACGTTCAGCTAAACCATCCGCCTCTGGATGATCTCGCGACGTGGTCCGATGATCAATCAGTGCCTTGTCGCACAAGACCTGAAACTCACCCTGAAACTCCGTTCCCTGATCGGTCAACACCTCAGCTGGTGCACCATAGTGACTAAGCACTCTGTCAAGAAAAGCATACGCTACTCCCTCACTTGCCTTGTCAGGTAATGCCACCAACTCAATCCACTTGGAGAAATGCTCCACCATCACCAACACATACCGATGATGTCGTACAGTCAAAGGTAGTGGTCCAGCAAAGTCCAAACTCCAATGGTAACCCAACCCCATGATGGGTAATGGATGTAACACTGGTGTCGGGGCATTGAATGATGCCCTCACTCGATCACAAACCATGCAACGTGATACCAACTGCTGTACCTGAGTATGCATACCACGCCACCAAAACTGACCAAGGAGTAAGCTGTATGTACGCTTCACTCCAAAATGTCCCAACTCCTCATGAGCATGCCTCACAATGCGTGCTCTCTAGGCTGGATGTGGTACTACTCGTACCCTACCGTCCTCCCATACTCGGAGAACATGTGATCCCTCCAATCGGTACCTCTTGGCCCGTTGGAGAACACGATCTCGCTCCTTGGCACCCACTGTGCCTGGCACCATGCTGGTCCGTAGGAACTCCAACACCAATGCATCATCGTGTACATCACGCTGATCCACACCACCATCCTCAACCTCAGGATCTGGAGATCGACCATCTACTCTCTGACTAGAGTAAGATGTCAGATGATCCTCTCTGCTGGAGTTCCCACGTAACCAACACATGAAGGCAGATGCATGCCAACCAGGCACCATCTCCTCGTCAACCTCACCATGCCATCTAGCTCCAGTGTCATCCTCCTGGCTAGTGCATGGGTTTCGACTCAAACCATCGGCATCTAGGTTCGCAACTCCAGGTCTATGCACCACCTGAAAGTCGTACTCTTGTAAGATGAGAGCCCACCGTGCAAGCTTCCCTGTAAGCTTGTCGGACTCCATCAACCACTTGAGCGGTTGTGAATCAGTAACAAGGGTGAACTGCGTACCAAACAAGTAACACCTGAAGTGCGCCACAGCCCACACCGCTGCCAAGCACTCTCCCTCGTACGAACTATACCGCGACTCCGCTGCATTGTTCGAACGACTAGCGTACGCAACCACAAACTCCTTGCCCTCATCATCACGCT